GTTGTCTTAGGCTCTGATCTCCGGCCACTGGATTGATTTGCATCAAGAATGCGTGTCAAATATAAGCTCCCGGTGCTCATGCAAATACACAGGTTGATAGACAAACACATCTGTGCATTGTGAATTATCTTCACTCTTGATTGGTGTGTGTGTTGGTTGGTGGGTACACAATCACAGAAGGATACACTTTTTTTTTTTAATTTAAAAAAAAAATTTAGTATGTATGATTTGGGATAATTGTCTTATTGTGATTATTGAGGTCGATATTGTGATATTCAATTACATTTATAAATGATATCTTGAGTCAGCTTGATGGGTTTTTAAGGAAAATGCGCGCACAGATCAGTAAAAATGCAGAAATCTGTATTTGTAAAACTAGAAATGGTTTCAAAATAATGTTTTAGCAATATTTTATATGTAGAGCTTTGTATTGTTTTTTAATATATACTTATTTTTGTATTTTTGTCTTGTTCTGGTAAAGAATTTGCTTAAACATGATGTTTTCTCTGCCTAAACACAATTATGATTAATATATATTGTAGTTTTTTTTTCTTATGTAGCAAACAGTAATGGCTTAATGGGGAAAAAAAAAGTTTAACTTGACTTAAATCATATTTTAAGCCGTTTAACTGATTGCATTGGTCATTTAAACTTTAATAAATAGAGATGTGGTCTCAAGCGCAGGAAAACTGCTTCACTTCTGTTGCTGAGAGGAGAGACCGCTGTTTAGGTGAAGAGCAGCAGCTCAAACGCTCTCTGTCAGGATTTCATGCAACAAGCTGCCTGTGTCACAGACAGGAATCCTTTATAAAACAAATCTGTTCATGCATCGTGAGAAAAGGGCCACTTAAAGACTGAATTGGGCATTTAGGTGGAGATCATTTGACGGTTATGAAGTTTGTGTGGAGCACCCGTGGTTGTAAATCGCGATCAGCCACTTAACACTGTGGAAGAAGTTAAGCATCAGCTATGACTGAGCGTGCATGCCTTCATGACAACCGCACATCGCTGCTGGGCCCAAGGACTAATCCGGTTATATAGATGTTTGTTTGTTTTGTTAGCAGCACAGAAACCAAAAAAAAAACTGTCCTCAGAAATTATGTTATTATTTATTTAATATGATCCCAACATTGTCTCGTCGTGTAACCGCACAGTTGCTTACATTGTGATTGCGATACAATTATTCATGCAGCACTATATTTTAGTATTCAGAGTTAGGTCTGCACAATATTAGAAAAATCTGACATTGCGGTATTTCCCTTTTTCTGATATATGTATATATACACAATTTGACCAGGTGACTTGAAAACTGTTTGAAAATGTATTAATTTAGATTGATTGGGATAATTCTGCAGAGCAATGACAAATCATGCAATAAAGCAAATCACAATGGTGTTTTATGGCTTTTGGGGCAGTCAAGTTGTATTTGGGGAGAACATTTTAATAATCAGACCTAAATAATACAGCAAATGTCTTTACTGTATAAATAAAAAAATCTTTATCAAAGTTATAAGCTAAAGTGTCTTGTGCCTGAATACTTTGAACTCTGTCAGGCCTTAAAAACAAGTGCAAATGAAAAACTTTCACTTCATTATGGTTCAACTCCGCAATAACTACACAGTGCTCCTATGTTCTGAACTTTTTCTTCTGGTCAACTGTAATCATAGCTCAAGATTGCAGATCCTGCGATGTGACTATTGTATATGTGCACATTGCGATATCAATGCTGAAACGATATACAGTATTGTGCAGCTCTATTTAGAAGTTTAGTGGTCTCTTTTTCAGACAGTTTCTGGATGTGTGTAACATGTAAATCAGTAGGGTACTGTGACTTCTGCAAAATGGAAAACAATGATGGAATCGCAGTGTCCATTCATAAAAATGTAATTTATATAAGGCGGGATGTGACAGAATTTAGCACATTTTTTACATGAATAAATAGTAGTGCTGTACACTTGAAATACAAGCAACTGTGAATATTAAACAAAAAAGACCATTCAAATATGAGGTTTGTATATCAGTGCATTTGTAAGAATGAATAATGTAGTTTTGTTTACTGAAGCGCACTGTACACTCTCCATTTGTACATTTGTTCAAACGTTCTTTTACGGTGTCCTTCCAGAGTAACAATTTACCTAATAAGTGATATTTACTAATGGCACATACTTACTATATGGTTAGGGTTTGAAGATGAGTTATTTAGGGTTAGTTGCATATAATTATACATAATTAATTGTAATTATTATAGTAAGTACACAGAAGCAATGTGTAACAATGCAGATGTGCACAATAATACCCGCAGACCCACGTACATTTCAGGACACACAATGCAGGCCACACAATCTAGGCAGGGGCGAACCATACATGGTTACGACAGATTTTAATGTTATTAATGTCTTCTTGGACCTTGTCATCATATATATATATATATATATATATATATATATATATTATAATTAATAAATACTGTACACAATAGACAAATGTATACTATTTCACAAATATGGCGATCAAGACGGGCGACTAAAATATGACAGAAGTAAGATCCTGAATTAGTTTATTGCAGTCAATCATACAATTAGATGGTCTGTTATGTTGTCTTTGTGTATGTGGATACTTGAATAAAATCATAAGTGTTTTAATTAATTATTTTTATTAACTAATTTGAATAGCAAAACTGCACAGATGTTAAAACCATCGTTACAATATAATAATGAAGCAATTATTGTAATGGGAAACCCTAAACTGTTCACAGTCTAATGGATGCCAATCGTAGCATGGACGGTCTAGATCAGTGTCCTCAACCACCGTTCATGGATAAATTTATACCGGGCCACTCAAGAAATCATTAATTATTTCCATTTTATTTATTATCTGAGTCTGAATTATCTTTTATTTTGAAAAATCTTTTATTTTGAAAAATGACTATTCTCTCGCTTACATTTTGGTGACTTGAGCGTCCAAATTTAACCCACAAGCAGCAAAATAAGCAAGAAACAGTCGCATTTTGAACATTACTTTGCAAAGAGGAAAGAACCCACCAACTGCCAAGACATGGATTGTCAACCCTTTTGTCAACAAATCAGGTGAATCCAGCATGTCTGTCCAAGAAGATCAAGAGTCGCATAACAAGAGCTGACCGTTCAGCATCATACTTTGTATGGAACATACACATTTAGGTAGATTAATTATCACATATAAACATAGAACACTCAAACACTGCAGTGCTTTGTAATTTTCTCCTTGAATAAAACTTGTATCAGACTGACAGCAACGTGACGGTACAATTAAGTGTTGACTGGTCTATGATGATGAAAAGGTTGGGGACCATTGGTCTAGATCCCCATGTGAAATATAGTAGGTGACGAGAGCGCTCCTAAGGAGTTAGTCGCCGCTAAACAAGAAAAGATAGAAGATGATCCATCAATAACCATCTATGGTTCACCCTTGCCTTGATTGTGTGGCCTGAAACGTGTGTGGGTCTGCAGCTGGATATATCTCTGTGCATCCTTTTTTTTTAGTGCATCATTTGCAAAAAAATATTTTTTATTGTCCATGCACAAGTAATAAGTGTCAGCTTTTAAATATTTAATATGTATGACAAAAATAGACTATTTATACATTAGATATAGATTATTTAATTGTATTTAAACTGACTTAAAAAAAAAAAAAAGCGACTAGTACTAGTATTTACAGTGCATCCGGATAGTATTCATATCGCTTCACTTTTTCCACATCATTTTAAGTTACAGCCTTATTCCAAAATAAATTAAATGAATTATTTCTTTAAAATTCTACACACAATACTCCATAATGACAAAGTGGGAAAAAAAAAAAAAAAAAAAAAAAAAAAATATATATATATATATATATATATATATACACCATAATATTCAATCAAGTAATTTGTGAGGTTGGTGAATCAAAGGGGCTTGTAATGGTTTCTCGATGTATGGTAAAGCGAGAAAAACCTCCAAAATATGACTCTAGTGTTAATTGTGAATAAATAAAGAAGTTCAACTAACTCCAGCTTTTTTTTACACAATTTTTATTCGGCAATACACTTACTTAAAAGGGAATACATTTAAATTCTCCGTTTCTCTCTCTCCCTCTCTGTGCACTTTAGCTCTTTCTCCTGTCGTCTCTCCTTGTGCGCTGTAGAAATCTTTTGTATTTACTCTGCTGGGGAATTAATCAAGGTTTTAATGGCCCCCTCCTTCCCTCTGTCCCTTAATTGAGTTTTGAGGGGAAAAGGAAGGATTTTTTCCCTCTGTTATTGTTTTTAAGTGCGACTGGAGCTGAAAAGCATCTGGACGTGTGTCAGAGCTGAAGTAAACATGTCAGGGGTTTAACTGAATGGAAGGCTGCACTAATGGTGCCAAACACGTGTGTGGCATCAGTAAAAAATGTTTTTTAACAGCATTATTAGCTGTGAAATCAGCCTGGAATCACCATGCTTTCATTTAAAGCGTCCTTTTAGAGTGTGTTTACAGATAGACATGATCTTAAAACGCAAGCGTCAAACCTTTGACCTCTGCTTAAAGTATGAAACTTCATCTATCTTTAATGAGCAGAAGCATTGAATAGATCTGTTGGTGTGAGTTATTATATAATATGTATTTGTTTGCTGTCTGGCTTATTTATTTGAATGTTGGCACATTATATTCTGATGAATAGTCGTTCTGGAAACACTGATACACAGTTCTTTTCTCACTGTGTATGTTTATCTTTCTCGTTCCCACCATCTGTCTGCTAAAATTGTTTGCTCTCTTTCTTAATGTAAATCTTAATGTTTGCTGCTAAAGCCTGAGCAAATTAATGATTCATCTCTTTCTCCTCCTCTTTTTTTGTCAATATTGATAAAGAAAAAATCTTTATGCAGATTATTTAATGACACAGTATATTTAATGAAACTAATGAAGACAATAATCCAGACAGATGTCTCTGTAATCTAGGCTTTCACATGCTTTGCTCATGTTTGTTTCTCTCTTTCTCATCAGATGGTCACAAGAACAAAGAAAATCTTTGTGGGTGGATTATCAGCGAGCACAGTGGTCGAAGATGTGAAGCAGTATTTTGAACAGTTCGGAAAGGTAAGGACCAGAACGTTGCTCCCTAACGGAGATTCTTATGATTTTTCACACACAGACAAACACAGACTGGTTTCTGTCTGCTGCGGATGCGTTTGTTCCAGTGCAGCGCTGAAAATGAGGGCACAGGTGTATGAAGGCGGTGTGGTTGATTCAGGAAACTGTTGTTGCTGTGTTCAGTCATGTTGAAACGTACAAGCTGTAGATTGAATTATTTATATCCAAAAATATACTGCCAAGAAGTTGACATTGATTATGAGGCACGGCTGAAATGAGTGGGTTGGGATTTGAGGGTGTGTCTTATACTGGAGGCGGGCCTTAAATTAGTAAGTGTAGTTTAAATAGTTTTAAGTGTTGTTAATTTTGGAGATGGGGTTTGCGTCTCTGAGTTGAGATTGTGTGTGTGTGTGGCTAATGTTGGGAGTGGAGATTAAATATTTGGGGTGGAATTTGTAGGCCTGACACCATATCTATTTTTGTTTGGCGATATTATTGCACCAAAATGTATTGAATACATTATACATAATACATATACATTAATATAAATGATAAGACCATATTATGCTGCTCATTATATAATGCCAGAAGGACAATACAATAGCATCATAATGCAAGCACTCTCTTTCAAAGAACACATGTTTTTCTTAAAAATATTTACTTTATTGATAGACATTTTAACAATTTATTAATTAGACATTAAAATCAGAATGTGAAAGCGTATATCCTAAACAAATAAATAAAAAATGTTAACATAAAAGTGCAAGGTAAAAAGTAACAGAGGCTGCGATATCTGCTACCAGATCTATTTTCAGTTGTCAGACACCTAGTAATTTATATTAAATACTAGGGATGCTACAACGAATCGAATAAAATTGATTATTAAAAGCATTCTCAACGAGTTTCATAATTGATTCGTCATGTTGCGCGACGCGGAGTTTGATTATTTAAAAAAACTTTAGTCTGCCAGTGCCTTGCGCACTGATGCCAGCAGAGGCACCTCTTAGACAGGACAGAGCAAAAAAATGAGCGGTGATAACTTTAGAGGAAAGGTACATGGTGAAGGCAGAGAAATCTGTGCCACCTCAGTCATCCGAGGTGTGGGAGTACCCAAAATAAACAAAAGCAGCATGACATGAAAAATTCAAACTAAGCTTAGAAGCGTTGTCTGGTGCTGAGCCAGAGAAAGACGTGTTGCATTATCACAATTATGCGGTGTTTTTAACCCAATGCTTATTTTATGAGTTAGACATGTAACTACACACAAGTACTAGGAAAACAATACATTTAGAGTTTGTAAAACACACAAGATAGTGTATGGAAGTCAAACAATCCTTTCAAATATAATTTGCAGATGTGTTTTATTTATATCAGGTACACATAGAGTAGTGAAAGTAACTATAAAGTTAAATCTATTCTTCACCCAGCTGGCCAGCCACTTTCTTGCATGCATTTTGGGATTAACTAATGAATTTACATGCTGATTCCTACATGTTCTGCTTTTATAAATGAGACATGTGCGCGGCCACAAGTAAACATGGTGATGCCCATCTCACGTTATAGATCACGATCAAGATCATTTATACATCTTTGAAACAACAAAAACAAACACTTACACATTTTTGTAAACTGGACATCAGGTAGTTTGATAACATGAGCAAGTGTGTGAATATTTTGTTACAAAACTCACTCCCGGTTTTTAAACTCAGCGGTGGTAGAGTTACTTTGCATTGCAAGACTAAAGACACATTTTTATTCACTTGCCTTTTGTGGATCATTCATTTTTCCATCTGTTGTCATGTATAACTGCACTGCAAAAAAGCTTTTCTTACTTGGTAATTTCGTCTCGTTTCTGGTCCGAATATCTAAAAAAAAAAAAAAAAAAAACCTTAAATCAAGACTAGACTAGAAAAATGGCATGAGAAAATGAAGTGATGCTTAAATTGAGATTAAATCTAATGAAGATTACTTTTCTTACCTCATCAGCAAATAATTTTTGCTTGTTTGAGGCAAACAATCACTTAATTATTATTATTATTATTATTTTTCAAAAAACAAGACATATTATGCTATTTCATGTGTCTAGTATGTATTTTGATATAATTTTATAAAAAATATTTGGATTGAAAACAGGACAAAACTACCAAGTAAGTTTTTTTTATTTATTTATTTATTTTTTATTATTATAACAACTCAGGGATGTTTAAGGATAACATGTTTGGGAACTTTCTAAAGATTTTATTTCTGTTTTTAAATCAAGGGTTGGAAATGAATGCTTTTTTCTTTTTTCTTAAAAAAAAAAAATTGGATTCATTGATTAATCGAAAAAATATTCGACAGATTAATAATTTTTTAAAATAATCGTTAGTTGCAGCCATAGTAAATATTATAGTGTTTTTATTTTAAACTATACTGACACTGACACCTCATGTTTCACTATCAGCTAGAGTTGTTTTTTATGTATGGCTGATCTATATTTCGGATCACAAAACATGATTGAGGTTATGTCCATGTGTTGTGCAATGAGTCCATACAGTATATTGATGACTGTGACAGGCCTAGGCATTTTAGTGTGTGGCTTATGCAGATGCAGTGATGCATAACAATCAAACACCAAATGTTTAAAGTTTGACTGTGGGTCTAAGGTTGAGGGTGGTGCTGTAGTGTGGGTGGAGTTTTAGATGGTGAGGCTTACTGAGTGTTTAAGTGGTTGAGCTGAAACAAGGGTGGGAATGTTTGGCTTATGGTGTGGTGCGGATAGAATTTGTGTGAGTTTGATTGTAAGGCTAATGCTGGAGGTGGATTTTAAATTAGATTTGTGCGCAAACCTGGAATATTGCATAAAGAAAATTAGCAAATAAGGCACTAGTTGCATCAAAAGAGCAAATAATGCTTACTTCCTGAAAAACTGGTGACAGATGTCAAATAGAAAAATGGAAGTAATTGCTGCAGTAGGAGATGCTACTGTGAGCTATTTTTATCATCACATGATCACACATTTTCTATCAACACATTTTATGTTTATTCAGTAAATATGTTTCCATTTTAGTTTATGGACTTCAGATAAAAAGTTTACTCTGCTCGTATTTCGCATATGTTTTAATGCACATTTTCAAAATATTTGAGCCTCTTGTGTTTTTATGCAATTATTTCAAAATGTACATAAAAATATGTGGATGGAGACACGGCTAATGAGATTAGCCAGGCACAAGGGAGGAGCTAAAAATGGAACTGTTAAGTCGGACATTTCAGAGCTTTCATAGCTTGCTGCAGTCACATGGCGTTATCAAGGATGACCACATTATATAAAGACTGACATTTGAGGTATTCCGTTTTTTCTACCTGGGTTATGCAGCAGGATAAAGTAGAGGGTTTGTAGGGAAAATATCCAAAATAAAGAGATGTACGCAATGTATGATTCAAAATCATAAATCTCAATAAATTGAACATTTTAACTCGATAAAGATTAATGAACGATTATTCAATTTTTTTGCCCTCATAGTTCACTGACAGGTTTGTTACAGTAAATATGCTTGCACATTACAAGTGAGAGATTTCTGATTAAGGTGCATTACTTGATTTTAAAGTAACTGAAGGAAACACACACTACCCACTATCTATGATTATTTGCTGATAATCAATGTTGAACAACTGAAATTAAAACACACATTGCCTAAAACCAAACAGTCACATTTTTTTTTTTAACAAAAAAGATAAAACACAAATTAATGTATTTAGAAATATCTGGGCCAAATGTACTGAATATGTAAGGTTAATCTATCCAGACGTACTTTCTAATTTAATTATCACCCTTCTCTCACAGTCTCCTCTTCAGACTTAGAACAAAGATTTATTATTATTAAATATGCAGTTTGACTAATAGTTGTGTGTTTAAACCTCTCTGAATTGTGTAAATTTTGTTATTGATGTTGTTCATATTTTTTCATTGTTATTGTTATTATTTACTTTGTTTAATTTTTTGTTGTGTTTTGCTACTTTCTATATTATATAAAAAAGTGAAATAATTGGCAGTGTAAATGTATGCCTTTTTAAGCTGAAATATTGTATTGATTATGCTGCTATGCTAAATAAAAGGTTATAAATAATTAAATAATGAAAAAAATTAACTTACATTTTTGGAAACAATGTAAATTATTTTAAATGTTTTTCGTATTAAAAACAGAAAATAACGTCTAAATAAAAGACCTCTTTTAGATCCTGTAAATAATATTTTAAGCAGTGGATTTCTTGAATCTTCTGTAAACGGTTATTTTAATGTAAATAATAATATTGATGTAATATATTAATGTAATGGAAAATAGGCCGTCTCAAGGCATCTCTGCTCTACATTGATGTTGATTGGAAGCTGCTCTAAAGTTAAGCTCAAGAATAGGTCCATCATCCTACTTAACCAGATCAGTGGTCGCAGAAGCATAAATGAGCATTAGCTGAGCCAGCGGACGTGCAACAACTTTATGAATAAATTACACACAAACCAAATTTTCCAACTGGAGCTCCTCCATGGGACATCACATTCGTAAACCCCCAATAAAACACTTACTCCAACAGGTTTGTGCCTCCACACTCGTCACCATTATCAAGCTGACCAATCATGGGTATGTGACTGGATGAAGGCTGTGCCAGACCATATGCATGTGGTCAATGCAGCAGTATAAACAGAGGGGGGTCATTTGACTTCACACGCGGTACGTAAAGTAACGTAAAAAATCGACCTAGAAAAATTAAATCAATTATAGGTTCTGAATGTCGATTTCATTTAATTTTCGATTAATCACCCAGCCCTAACGCCTAGGGTTGGGATTTGGTTACTTAAAGCTGAAAGTGAAGTTTGAATGTGCAGATAATTTGTGGGTGGAGTTTGAGCTGAGAGTGGGAGGGGTTTGAACCATGGGTGTGTGAAATAAGTCTGTATTTTTACATGGATGTTGTTGCCGCAGGAATTTTCAACTCCGACTGAAAGACTGCAGGTTGTTACTATTATCTGT